CAGTTCTGTCTTTTACATTAAAAAATGTTTTTCCCCAATCTCTTCTCTGAATTCTGTCACCAAGCTACCTTGCAAGCCTGCTCATGTCCCTACTTTAAATCTTCTTATACAAATGTGGGGCCTAGTGGCAGTAAACAAACTTGTAATGCTCTTTCAAGGACTCTTTTCCATGTTACTTTTGTTGCGAAGTATTTCACAAATATACATGATAATCTTTTAGTGAGCAGTGGATCTTCTTTTCAGTTTTCAAAAACTTTTTACTAAGAATTTTTAACAAATGTCGTGAGCGCTTCAGCAGTGGGACCCCATGACTCCTAAGGCAGTCTCCCTTGTAGCTGAAGCTTGTCAGCACTTAACAGTCTTAGGTGGGAAGGTTTTTATAAGCAAGTTAACTTATAAGAATGTTGATAAGGAAAAGCCAAGATGTCTTGATCTCAGAAAAAACATTATGAGCATAAAATTTCTTGGCTAAACTGGCCCCTGTTAACATAAAGTGATATACCTGTATTATAAATTTAATATAGTGGTCTATTAGTAACAGTTACTATAATTAAGTAGTACATATGGGTAACAGGGAAATACCAGACTTTTTTTCCCTCCCCCACAAGAAGGTTGAAGTATATATTAAATTTTTTCTTAGTATATATTAATTCTTGCAAAATTACAAAGATTACAAATGCCTTTAATATTATCTAGAGTACTTTCCTGTGTATTTATGTTTTGCTTTTCAGAAAAAAAGCTGCTAATTGTCTCAATCTTTTTCACTGACTTCAGTCGTTGACCTCTCACATGTCATGGGTGGCACTGGAGGTGGTGGTTTGCCATTAAGAATAGGAGTTCCCAAGGTCAGGTTTCCGGTTTAAATCTGGGCTGTGCCACTTTCTGCCTGTCTGGCCTTGGGCATCTTGCTTTATCTCAATTTCTCTTCTTTAAAATATTTCCTGAGGTTAGTATGAGGATTAATTAGATGATACGCAAAGTACAGTATGTATACATTAAGTAACATTTACTAATGGCAGATGAGTAACATTTACTGAGAACTGTTACTTTGTGGCTATTTTATTCTACAGCTTGACTTTTTAGACTTTCTGGTGACTACTGAGGAACTTTTTTAAGGCCTGAGAAACTCATCAGCTATTTATTTTCATCGATAGTCAATTCAGTAAATTCTGTTTTAGAACCTAGTTTTTCTTAAACCTTTAAACTCAGTGTTTAAATCTTTTATTTATTATTCTAATTTGTGAAGGTTAGAAACACATTTTCTCTGATCAGTGTTTAACTTCCATCTTCAACAGATTACACAAAAGTAACAGATTATATTAAAACCTATATCTAAACCTAGGTGTTTTCTTAATTTTTGAACTATATTTACACATTTAATACATTACCTTCTTGAATACTTCAGATGTATCACCAGGCCGACACGCAAATCTAGCAATGAAGAATGTCGAAGCCCTCGGACCTGAGCGCATGTCTGTGCTGTTGAGAGCCTCAGGTCAGAGCTGCTATGGGTGTCACGAACTTCACACTTGGACTTGTTCTTACAGCCTTGCATATGTGTCACATGGCCCCTTCCCTTTTTTGAACCATAACCTCTGATACAAAGTACTCAGATTCTACATATATTCAGTTCTAAGTTTCTATTAATTCAATAGTGCAACTTCCTTATATACTATTTATATACTTGACACACAGGTTCATAGTTACTGTATCAAAACACAGTATTTTATAATATAATATACATAATTTATGTAATACCCTGTCTTTGGGTATTATGTTGTTTCCAGTTTTCAAGCATACTTGTAGAAATAGTTTTTGCACATCCTTATTATTTCCTTTGGATAACTCACGAAATAGAATAACTGGGCGCCATCACCCCAACGTTAGTGATATAATGTAGCCTAATATCTACTGGTGCAGACCTTCGACTGATGCACCCATCTGCTTCCTGGTGAAGCTGAGAATCATTTTTTCAAATTAAGGAACAGTCCTACTGGGATTATTAAGAGAAAATGTTGTTATATATTAATATGGTAATATCAGGCCGTTTATGGTATAATGGAGGTAATAGAAATAATATATAGAAGCAAAATAGGTTTTCTTGTAACCTAACAAAAAAAGCTTCTGCAGTTCTCTCAGGGATAAAAAGAGGAGCAGCAGTGGAAGTCTTTTTCTGACAGACATAAGAACACATTACATAGTTAAAGTTGTGACCTTGGCATCAGAAGAGTGTTGCTATATATACTTTTATTTCTACTGTTGAAAACTTCCCCAAAAGTCATGTGTATGCTGCTGAGTTTTTATCAAATGCCTTTTTGACTACACTCAAGATGATCCTGTCTTCTTTTACATATATTTGTATTTTATTATAATCATTTACTAATTTGAAACCTTCCTTGCATTTCTGGAATAAATCATATCTAGTTCTAAAAAAAACGCTAATGAAACAATATCAGTGTACTGAAAGTTTCAAAGTTTTGTGTTTTCCTTCAAAAGGAAGGTTAGCCTATAGAGATCTTTAGCTCTGTGAATGTTATCTAGAGTAACCTCTGATATTTTGCAATGGAAGAGCACTTGGAAAGCTGCTTTGTGCTCCAGCATAGTACCCTACACAAATGAACTAATGGGATTGCCGTCCTTGGAGAGGGACTATTGTGGCTTTTGTCACTCTCCCAGATACTTACTGCCGGGGAAGGGATCACCACAGGAATGAGTATGTGGTAATCATCTTGATGACAAACATTGCGAATGTTGACACATGTTGAATGTGCTTTGTATATTTAATCTTCTTAATGAGATCCCAAGGAAAATATCAATCCAGCTACTAATGACGATAAATGGGCTTTGCACTCACAGAATGTTCTTACTCCCAGGAGCACAAAGCTCTTCACAATTAATTATTTAGTCATCCTCATGGTTGTCCCATGAGGTAGGTGGCTGAGCACTTCTTCTTTAAAAAAAAAAAAAAGTTAACCAATTGGATTTTCTTCTGTTCTACATTCTGTGTTCTAGAACTGTGTGGCTACCTTATAAAGACCCTCTGTATATCGGTTGGTGGACCTGGGTTTTAAGATCACAAGCTTCTTTCACATAAAATGCCAGGCTCGGAGCAGATGTGGAATAGTAAAGTTGGAGGAAATTTGGGTGATAGTTTGGCAAGATGCTATGAGTGGTATAGTGCAGTTGGTAAAAAGAGACAGGTAATGGTGGAGTTGGTGCTTTGGTACCTCCATTAGAAATAGTAATCCATGGTGTTGGAGGTTTGTTTTTGACACTACCTTACTGAGGCACCTCTTCATTATACTTACTCTTCCCTCAACATTGTGCTAAGTCACTACGGAGAACCTCTGTGAACCCCGTTTTACAGAGAGGGACATTGCTTCTTTCTCATCCTATTCTAATGTATTAGTAGTTGGGGTTTTCACAGGGACGAGAAAAAGTGAGATGTCTGAAATTCTTAGCCGGTCTCCATCGTGTCCTGAGCCTCCGTTTCTCTGCCAGGCTCTTTCCTCTTGCTTTTGCTTCCTCGGAAATGACAGTGCCTCTCTCTGGACACATATTGTAGGGGAGCAGGAATATAAGTAAAGCTGTTTTTATCTAGTGAGCACCTCCTTCTTCTTTTTACAATATGCCATTCAGCCTTCTCAAATAGTTTCGTTCTTTTAGTTCTTTCTGTCTCTTCAGTTAGACTGTGAGCTCTTTGGGTGAATGTTTAGGTCAGTGGCATTTTGTTGGGTTTTTTTTTTTAACTCCTTTTAATTGCCCCCACATACCCCTCATCACTGGGGCATTTAGGTGCACAATAAACACTTGTGGTTGCTCTATTTGCCATCGACAGCTGTCAACAAATACTGCCTTTGCCTATTAACTGTGTCGTTTTAACAACACTTTTTTCTTTCGTTAAATAAAGGCTTAGCTGTCACCGCTTTGAGATTTTTCCTCCTAATTTTTTTCCTGAAGTTACCCTGAAAGAGTCGCCTTTAAAAATGCAAAAGATTATACTTAAATTGTGCAGTGTACTCAGGCCGGGGACTAATTACAAGGTCTGAAAACCTCTTCAGGTGGCTGGGTTCTGTAGTACGACTAAAATACCGCTTTCCTAAATTGAGAACAGCTGGGGCCGTGTTGCCAGCCAGTATAAAGGGCCTGTGCTGGCGCTCTGTGCTGTGAAGCAGCCTCCGCTCTTTGGAGCCTGTGGCGCCTCAGCTCACGGCACCCTTTCCTCGCCGGGGTCCTGGTGGGTAAGTGCCCCGAGCCCATCCTCTGAGTCCTGTTTCTATTGTTTGCCAGAAATTGTGGCGGCTGCATCAAAATGTTACGAATTTACCATGTTATTTGTAGTAAGCTATTTTATCCTTACAAGCAGAGCTTGTTGCCTCAAGAGACATAGCTAAGGCTTTGGGTGACTAAGGCTTTGTGTTACTTCGGAGGCTGTCAGCTTTTCTTGTGTATCTCTGCATATAAAAGGGTAAACTGAGGCAGTTCCAGTTCTTGAATATGTTCTGAAGAGTGCTCACCCTAAAAGATGCTGGATTTTTAATAAGGAAATAGGAAGCTGACTGGGCAAATGCTGAGGGTAACAGTTATTCAGTGCATATAACAAATCATCACAATTATTTACTCTTTAAGGTTCACAGAAAAGATACAGTCTTAGGAAAGAATGATGTGATCCGGGGAGGTTCTAGCTTATTGTGACTTCATGGTTAGCAACAGGTAGTAGTATCTGATGAAAGTGTTTGCAATGTTCGGTCCTGATTTCTATTTAAAGAAATTTAAAAGGAATTGATATACTGACATCAGCTCAAAAAGAGAAGACTTCCAAGATAAAACAATTCAATATTTTCTAAATAAACTCACCTCAGCAGCTCTATGTTCTGACAATATATTTATAAAGAAAATGGCTTTGGTATTTGTTTCCGTCTTTTGATAATGTCTTGTTTTGGACGGTTGACAATTGGACGGGCCCGATTTGTGAACATAGTTTTGTTTTGTTTTGACAGGTGGAATAGTGAAATCTTTTGGGAGAGGAAATTTGGCCCGTTGCCCTGAGAGCAGTGCGTGTACAGCGGCGGGCTGCAGGGGAGGCATGGTCGTCCGGCGGCTACTCTCTACGTTTCGTACCAGGAAGCAGAGCCAGTTGAAGAGTCCATGTTGATCTTGGAAATAGAAGGATTAAAAAACGTTCCTACAAAGAACTTTACCATCTCTCTTTTGATCTGAAGACTGGGGGACAATGGATATTATAGAGACAGCAAAACTTGAAGAACATATGGAAAACCAAACCAATGATCCGGCAAACACTTACACAAGACCTGCTGAACCCGCTGAAGAAGAAGAAAAAAATGGCAATGGTAAACCTAAGAGCTTATCCAATGGGTTGCGAAAGGGCACCAAAAAGTACCCGGACTATATCCAGATTGCTATGCCCACTGAATCGAGGAACAAATTTCCCCTAGAATGGTGGAAAACGGGCATCGCTTTTGTGTACGCTCTTTTCAACCTTGTCTTGACAACCGTCATGATCACAGTTGTACACGAGAGGGTCCCTCCCAAGGAGCTCAGCCCTCCACTCCCAGACAAGTTTTTTGATTACATTGATCGGGTGACATGGGCATTTTCTGTATCAGAAATAAATGGGATTATATTAGTTGGATTATGGATCACCCAGTGGCTCTTTCTGAGATACAAGTAAGTGGGCCTAACACGTTTTCGGAGGGGCAGGGGAAGGTGGGGGTTGCCCTTAGTTTGTATTTAAGTGAGTAGATGTGTAATTGAAATTATCTTTCTTGGTTTTGTCTCATAAATTCAGTCTTATTCAGGCATTTGCTGAAAGACAGCAATAGAGAGATCAACCATAGCGGATAAATCCAGTAACTATTCAGTACTGTGACTGTGGAGCAACTGTGTATGAAAGTGACAACTATATAGGAAAGAACAGAAATGTTGTGGTGGGTGATTCAGAGTTTATGAATTTAAGGGGAGGTTGTGATTTCAAGCAACTTGGTCCTGTGATATTTGCATGATAAACCAAGAGTCCTGGAGAGTAATACCATTCACTTCATCAGGCTTGTGTTATTTCAGGCGCGTGACAGGTAGGGAAAGAGGTGGTCTGGGGGTTTGTTTCCCCATTACTCACAATGTGATGACTGTATTAGTCTGTAGACATTAGCATGCTTTGAGGTTTGCTTTTATTCAGGAGTTCTCAAATTTTACATTTCTTTTCCTTTCGTCTATTGGCAATCAAGTCACAAGAATCCGTTGAAGAAACTGAATTTAGAAATGGGTCCGTGCGGTTTTGGTTTTCGATTACTAATGTACCGTCTGGTTCCCTCCATTGCACCACAAAGGAACTCTTAGTTCCCAGCTTTCCATCTCCTTGTTTTGGAATAGCAGGAATCAGGAAGTACTGAGCCAGGTACTTTTGCCTTGACAACACTAAAAAATAGGGTGTAGCTCTGAAGGGGTTATTTTTGCTTTCCTGTTAATTCCATAAAAAATAAAAGCCCCTCTTTTCTCCTCCTCATCTCCGCCATCATTCAGATATTTGTCCTCTACTAAGATTCTAGTAATTAAATCACTAAAATATAAGTTTAATCAAAACACTGACCACAAACTGGGGCTTTTGAAAACGTATTGTATGCTGACTTAGTTGATACAATTCAAAAATTCAAAATTCAGTAGGATTTTAATATTAATGCCATAAGATCATTTTCAGAAGAGGGAATTTATGCTATATCATTTTTGCAATTGGTTTTTGCTTTGAGGTTAGAAGAATTCAGTCTCTTTGCTAAAGAGTCCCTTATATGCAAGTTTGCAGATTTGAAAATTTATTCCACAAACAAGTCATTCCTAAGCATTTTCCTTTAAGTATCTTTCTGAACAGTTTCCTTATTATGTGTTAAATAAAATAGCTTTCAATTTTCTTTTACTTAGTACAACTTTTTGTTGCTAAAGTTGTCAGTTATGGCATGCTTATGCTAAAAGTGAATTATATGTGTTGAACTTCAGCATTTTATTTTTGTTTTTATTTTTTTCATGTCTGGAATTTACACTGAATATAGAGACTGCTTGGGCCAAAGATGTTTGCTTTCTCCTCAAATTTAGAGCCAAGTTCTATTCTATGTGTGAAAAGAGAAATTTTCCAGCTTCCAACCTGAAGTACAGTCTCAATTTGTTTCCATTTTCACCTGAGAGCCAGTTGACTGCCTCTTCATTATTACCTTAGATTTTAACCACGTCAAAACTTGCAGTCACGTAGCTGGCCACATCTTTTAGTGATATCTACTGTTTCAGTCACATTCCATCATCAAAAACTTGTTGGGGAAATCACACTAATTTTTCTTTCACTTTTGCGGTAGAATTGGAGCTTATATTTTTGTAACTAGCAGAGTAATTTTCATCACCTGTTTTGAACATTGCAGCTGAATAAGAACTCTAACTCTGTCTCAAAAGTTCCTTCAAAGCCATGGGGAAAAGTCATTAGTAGTAGCTCTTTTTCTAAATCAGGCTATAGAATGCATGTTGTACCTTCTTAGTTAATTTTCTGTACAGCTGAACTCAAAATACTGGAGTGAATATAATTGACTCATAATAATTCTTGCTTATTACTTCACCTTGTCTAACACAGGGAGCACAATTCAGAACTCTTTGGAGGCCTGGGGTTGAATCAAAAGGTGAATTGTTTTTCACTTAACCAAACTGAGAGACTCAGCACTGTTTTATCACTGTTTTAGCACTGTTCCTTCTCAGCACTAGAAAAGGCAGCGCCTGAAAATAGCAAGCCTTTATAAGAAGAGCCTTGCAATAAATACATACTTTTACCAACCAGTCAAGGTGGTGTTTCTCTCTATTTTGACCCCAGAAACCCTGGAATATTCTTAAAATAGCTACTGGAAATGGGCCTCTAAACTTATATTTGTACATGATTCTTCAAATTAGAAGCCCCAGCAGTTACCTGAATTTGATACTGTTGCATGTTCGACCACAGTCTTGTAGAAAACAAAATATGCCACATGCCCAAAACTGCCTGTGTTTTCCAGAAGTCTTTGTCCACTACCAGTTTTGGAAGTTTGATAGGTCTGAAAATGGGAGACCTGGAATAATATAGTTTACGTGCTAAGGAAGCTACAAATAGTAATTCTAGAGGCTTTCTGGATCCCGCCCACTTCTTAATCCCCAGAGCCCCAAGTTTATAGACCCACCCCATGCCTGTACAACAGGAGAGGAGCTGTCATCCTCAACTGGAAGTGAGGAGACTCAGCACCCTTGAGGCCCGTTCAGGTACCCATGAGACAGTGGTGCAAATGGGCAAAGCCCTTCCCTTTGGAGGACAGTGTGCTCAAGGTCAGCCACTGGGAACCACTGCCTTAGACTGAGTCCATGGCTGGTAGGGGACAGGGACTTATGTTAGTCAAGACAACTATCTTCACCAAAAAATAAAAAGTGAAAAAGGACTTGTAGGTGGGGTAGGTTTTTGGTTTGTTTTTTTCTTTGGGGGGGGGGGCGCAGTTTGCCTTTTTTGTTCAAGATTGAATAAAGTAAGGATAAAATAATCAGTTTATAATTTCACTATCAAATATTCTTAAATGTACCAGGATGCTCTGACCTTCGTCAAATATTCTCTGAAAACCTATAGTATAGCCTTAGACCAAGTAGTTCATGCCCAGGTTGTCAAAATAATGTTGGATAGTCCCCCAAATAAACCTTACTTATTATATAACAGGTTCAATGAGTTATCACATCTCCCTATGTGTCCAATTATGTAGCATCACCTTAGCTCATTAGTTAATCCCTCTGTGACCGTGGGTTGCTTATACCTTTGAAATGTTCTCTCTCAAGAGAGGGCTCTATTAATGCACTGAGCTGACTGAAAATGCAGAGAGGTTCATTGAATTCTCTCACAGAGAGTGGCTGTTTTAGGAAGGGTGGTTTTCTAGAGCCCTCAGTCTATTTTAACTCCTCTAGTCGCCACAAACTAGCTCCTCTTGGACCCAATCCCCCTCGAGTCCTTACAATATGTGAAGCCTGCAGTGCGGCCTCTGCCCGGCACTGTGGGGATGGCAACTCAGAAATGGGCGTCCGGACTATTTCTGGTAATGCCATTCTGCATCATTTTTTTATTCTGTTAAACACTTGTTTGTATTGTGTTAGGAACAGAAACAACCAGTAAACTTGTTTCTCCCCATCCCTGTTACTACTCCTTTAGGTCAATAGTGGGGCGCAGATTCTTTTTTATCATTGGGACTTTATACCTGTATCGCTGTATCACAATGTACGTCACGACTCTGCCTGTGCCCGGAATGCACTTCCAATGTGCTCCGAAGGTAAGCGCCTCTGAATTGCCATGTAGGGGAAATGAAGAAAACATCATTAAATGTTGGTTGTCTTGTTATACAGTCTTCAGTACACTTCCATGGGCTAACTGAAATCTAGTATATTTTCTGTTTTTCTTTAGATTTGGGAGGAAGAAATAAAAACGTGTTCATAAAATGTATACCTTTGTGCATAAAAAATTCATTTTCTGCTCACTGAAAGTTATTATTGGGAATTTGACTCTGCTGCCTTACCTTCTCTCCACTTACTCACTTATGCACTTTCTCTACGAGTGTTTCGCTGCTGCCGTGTACCAGGCACTGTGGTGCTAGCAGTGACTAAAAAGTTTTTCTCCTAGAGCTTATTTCTATTGCAGGAAGACAAGGGATAAAGAAATGTATAACCTGTCACATGGTGATAAGCCAGGGAGGCTATCAGATGAACACTAAGGCTGAGTAAGAGTGAAAGGGACTAGAGGGGTAGGTACTATTTTATACAGGGGTCGGAAAGGCTTCTTCAATAGGAAAGCATTTGGGCAGATATCAAGAGGAGGGAGTGAGCTGCGTGGGTCGGGTGGGAGCTGCAGGCCACGGAAGCAGCTCGGTCACGGTAAGTTCAGGACGGAGCAGGGAGACCACGGCAGCAGGTGGAATTGTGTGGAGCAAGGTGGTGCATGCCCTGTAAGACCCTATCAGGTGCAGACCCTGTAAGACCTTGTGGCCATGGTAGGAACTTGAACCTTGGTGGAGGCAAATGAGGAAGAAGTGAGGAGTCGTTCGATTCGGGACACATTTTGAAGATAGAGCCACTAGGATATGCTAATAAGTTGGATATGGGTTTAAGAGGAAGAAGCCAAGGATGACCCCAGTTTATAGCAATTGGAAAGACCAAGTGGCCTTTCACTGAGACAGTGGGAGAAACTGTCTGATACTGAAACTGTCTTAAGCAAGATTCCCAGCTTCTCCAGGGAGAGCTATTTCTTGAGAGAGCTGTTCATTATCTTAGACCCCAGTGTACCCTGGTTTATAAAAAGGAAAACTTACAAATCCTGTGCTTTCTGCACGAAGGAATGAAGTCTAACATCATATTTCACTGAACACTAAGCAGATGTCCAAAGTGGAAGGAAAAATAGAGTTGTTCTAAAGAAGTCAACAGTCTCCCTCACCAAATATAGGTGTGGTTTGGAGAAGCTGTAATTTTCCAAAGCCATCAAAGCAGAAAGTATCTGTAATTAAAACAGTGTGCATATTGAATTTAAACATTGGCTGATTTTTAGTGAAGCTAAATTAAGGCATGGGAGAAGTTCAGAAACATAATAAACACTTCTAAGCGGTTATTGCATCGTGTTAAATGAAGCAATGGCCACAGGAAAAAGGCAAGCCCATCCTCGTAATGGATGAGGTTTGCAGGGATGAATTGCTATGATTACAGAAAGAAAGTATCCTCCACAGAGGAGCTGCAATTTTCAGAAGCCACATTAGTAAACATAGCCCTGGATAACCCAGCTACAAATGCAGTGGAAGCTCTGGGAGCATCCTTACTAATCAGCTCCCATGTTCAGGTGTCGGAACCTCTTCCTGACGTGTGAGTAGGCTGAAGGTGCCTGACTCATGATTCAGGAAAACAAACACAATCCCTTGGATGGAAGCGATGCGGTGTTATAGGATAGGAGTCAGAATTGCATCCTAAATGTGGTCCGGCTGCTGGCTTTGAGTGCTCCGTCGACTTTGTGGTTACAAGGCTATTAGATAGTCTGCCTGTGTCCTTGGTTGCCAGCTCTGTAGAATGCCCTTCAGGACTATAAGCAATGACAGAACTGTGTACTCTGAAACCACTCTCTATGGCAGGGTGTCAGATCTAGTCACTGATGCTTAACGCAACTTGTCACCCACTGGTTGTGGTCTCCTCAGGAGCCATCCTGTGATAGGCCCTTGGTGAAATCCTTGGCTTTCACAGCTCCCAGCTGCCCTCCCCCTTATCTATCCTCTCATTTCCCCTAAGTCCTCCGCTTACAATCTGCTTCCAAACCACCAACCCAAGCTTGTGTTTGCAGTCACAAAATCTATGTTCTGAAAAGTGTGTTTAAATAAATTGCAAATGAAATTACATAGCTTTTTAAACCCATTTTGCTATATAAAAGAATGTTGGGCTGGCATAGATACAGTCTCTTTCCTGAGAAAATTTACCTCCATAGATGTCCAAAGGACTGGTCCCCTTAATTAAAGGGACAGTGTGGATGGTAAGGTCTCTGGTTTGGCAGTAGTCAAGTAGGGTTCTCTTGCACCTTATTTATTTTTGTGGAAAATGGTGTGTGGTACCCTGGCTGGTGTGGCTTGCTTGGGCATCGTCCCACAAACCAAAAGGTCACAGGTTCATTTTCTGGTCAGGGTACATGCCTGAGCTGCGGGTTCGGTCCCCAGTCAGGGCATGTGTGAGAGGCAACTGATCGATGTTTCTCTCTCACATAGATGTTTCTTTCCCTTTCTTTCTCCCTCCCTTCCCCTGCCTCTGGAAGAAAAAGAATTTAAAAAAAGGAAAGGAGAGGGAAAGAAGGAAGGGAAGGAAGGAAGGGAAGGAAGGAGGGAAGGAAGGAAGAAAGAAAGGGAAGGAGGGAAGGAAGGAAGGAAGGGAAGGAAGGAAGGGAAGGAAGGAAGGGAAGGAAGGAAGGGAAGGAAGGAAGAGAAAAATGGTGTGGGGTAGTCATAGAATGAGGAACCTTTAACAATAATGAGACCCATCTGCTTTGGCTGTTAGGATTGAGGCATTACCTCTTAGCTTTCTACATCTTCTGATGTCTGAGAAATGGGGGAATTAGTAGAAACTAGGGTCTTAAGTGGTGTGTGACAGGGGGTTCCAGTGAACTAGAAAACAACTCATTCATTCCCAACTCTATCCCCACTCCTCCACTTCCCAGTATTTTTTCTATGTTCCTTTTACTCCCCACACCCTGAGGTTTTATTTAGCATTTCTACTGGACAGGATTAGACATCTCAGGATAGCAGTGACAAGATTGAGGGATTAAGAACTGGGGAAAGACACAGCAGGAAGAGAATCCTCTGTTTTGTAAAGGCACATTGAATCAAATGCTCTCAGAGATCGCCATTCACCAGCACCGCTGAAAGAAAGAAGGGGGAAGAGAAATGTCTGGCTTATTTTAGCTCCTAGTTTCTCTATGCCTTTGGATCCCTCCAAGCCCAAGTAAAGGGGCTCATGGCTTTAAGTGTTTCTGCCCTTACAAAAACTAGAGTATTGACTTGGGAGGAGTGAGTGGATAAAAAAACTACGGTTTTGAGATGAATAACATATCCTTTTAAACTGGGAACACAGTGGTTGGGCAGAGTGTATGCGCCTTTATATTTGATCTCAGCATTGACAGTTGTTTGTACCAACTACACGACAAATTGCTGAGGGGCTTTGGTTCGTCTGATAAGGCACAGGGCTGGCCCGCCCTCGCATCAGGGCACCTCACACCCGGCAGGTAGTCAGTCTGCAGTCCGCCTTTCTCGAGCCGCACCTGCAAGAGTGCTGCAGCTCTGTCAGCAGTGCCGACCTTCCTCAGCTGTGGGTCCTTGACTGCCTTCTAGAGCCTGTCTCTTCAAGGCAGGATCACCTGTTACTTGGCACGTTTGCTCTAAGGACTGTCAACTCTTCATAAAGACACACAAGTTCTCTTGGTTTTTGTCACCCGGGTTTGCCCTAAGCAAACTTTTGAAGAAGGTTGTTTCTTCAAAACCACCCGTTTCTCCCCTGCCCTATATTCCTGGCTTACGTCATTTTCCGTTGGAGACTGTTCTCAACTGCTAACCAGTCATGCTGTGTTTGCTTTCTTACAAGGGTCACTCAAATACCAGAAAGTTGTCCAGACCCAAGAGATTGTTATTAATCAGGAAAGTTTTATGTACCCCAGTGTGGATGCTTTAGGCAAGGATTCCTGCCCCAAGTCCTTACTGTACTGGATAGGGTGGATTTCCTTGTGCTTTGGAGGATACCTGAATTTCTCTCCTCCTAGACTCTGTTCCCATCCATCTGTACACGTCTTACCCTCCTTCACTACCATATGTCCACCTGGAAAAGACAATACCTGTCTTTACCACTAAACATTTTCATAAGCATCATGCTGAGCTGGCTCTGCTTCAGGGACAGCCGCCCAGAAGGATCAGTGTGGAGTATAAAAGGCAGCCTGTATACAGCTCTCCCCTCAGGTCCCAAATGAAGAGTCATTAATGGTCTTTCTATATTTCTCTTCTCATGTGTTCTGTTACTCAACCTTATTTCTGTATCATTCTTTAATTTTCGAAGCATAGTGAGTTTATTCTAGATTGTTCTTAAATCTTCCACATGGCCTCCCAACGTGTCAGTGCTCCCAGTTCTTCCGTGCCTACCATACGACCATCTCGGTCTACTTCTCCTTCTTGTAGGCTTACGTTTTAATGGGATATAAACATTGGACTATTGCCTTAAACTCCTGCCCAACGCATCGTAGTTTCCAGGCCATCGGGGAGGCCTCTGGTGGCTTCCACATCCTTGTCTAAGGAAGCTCTGTTCTGAGCCCCTGCCATTGCACCCAGGTTATTTCTTTGGGGAATTTTTTCCTCATCAGAACTAACTCATTTTTAAAGCTGCTAGTCCATTGCTAATCAGTTATTTTTAAACCTATATAAAGTATTTAATGTGTTGCAGCTTCCCTTTCTAACTGCGCTTGATCAAATGTTAATACAGCTATATGTACACTTCAGGCTGCCCATTAACACAAGGTATGAATACACTGTACAATATTAGCAATGTGGTATGCAGCTGAATTAAATATTTACCAGCCAAAACCCTGACTTCCCCCTGCAGAGGAAAGAACGTTGCTTTGATCTTCTTTTTTAGCACATAGCTGTGGTGAGGTCATTGGTTATTAATATTTTTAAAAGCTTTGCCCAAGGACACAACATCACCAAATGTATTATTAGTAACATATTGAATAATTTAAAATGTGCCACTAAAACCGGCCACTATAATGTATAAAACCCAGTCTGAGGAACTTCCCCCAGGGTTCTTTTTGACTTTTTAAGTTAAAAAGAAAACAAAAATCACAACCTGGTGACCCAAGTATCCCACAAATTAGGCTGAAATATGATTTTATAAGCTTGTAAATTTTCTTCCCGATCATCTTGTATCATTCAGCTCAACGGAGACTCTCGGGCGAAAGTGCAGCGGATCCTGAGGTTGATTTCCGGTGGAGGATTGTCCATAACTGGATCGCATATCTTGTGCGGAGACTTTCTCTTCAGCGGTCACACGGTTGTGCTGACACTTACTTATTTGTTCATCAAAGAATGTAAGTACTAACTCATTCCCACTTGATTGATTTTTGTAGTGGGAGGGATCCCTGCGCCCTGAACCTGATAGGAACTCTTATTCTACTGGAATTGATAGCTATTGAGAGAGAAGGACACGGAGTTAGCTTTCAATCACTTCAGCTAGTCATACGTGACTTAAACTCGGAAAGCTTAAATTATGGGCCTGGCTTCGCCCTAACATGTAGCATGCCTCCAGAATGACCCCTCCTTGGTTAGTACTTCTCAAGGGTGAAAAGCTTTTTAATGTTGGAACCAGGAAGAACAATTGTCCAAAAAGTTTATTGTAAAAAGAATCTGTGTGCTCTAAAACCAAATATAAATGACTTTTGAGAGAAACTACCATTGTGTATGAAGCTTCCATTCCATCATTTCAAGTAATTTAGTTACTGTTTTTCCCTTTTCCTTTGTAAAACATTTCCTTGCCCCAACTTACTTTAATTTCATCATTTCTGGCTGACTTCTATGGTTTAATAGGCATCTTCATGATCATCTTCTTCGTAAGAAGCATTATGGAGGCAAGAATTTGAAGAATCTTTCCTGATTTATATACTGATTTCCCATTATACAAAACCTTAGTGTATATCAGCGACTTCAATGGCCAGAAAAGTTTCTGGTTTATTGTGGGTCGTGTTTGGCTTTAGCTGCCTAGCAGATCCCATTCTTGTAGTTTTCTGAGGTATTGTATATTTAGGGCCATTATTTCACACTCCTTGTGATGCTTCCCCTCTATTTTTGCACAGCTGGTCTGCAATGACCTTCAGCTTTACTTCTAAGATATCCCATGCCAGTGTTTCCCAGAGGTTAATCTCAGGTCTCCACACTTCCTTATCATACTGTAAAGGAGGTGCTTCGCAGAGACCAGCAGAGGGTGGCCTCCCCCTCTGCCCTCCTATCTTGGCCTGTCATTAATCCAAACGGGTTTGGCGTCATCTGCTGGCAGTGTGGACACCAAGGTTTATCTTGCAGTGGTGGAGAAGTGAACTCTTGCCGCACAGGTTGCCTGGAGTGTTAAGTTTAAGTTTTGCTTTTTGGGCTGTATGACAAAGTGTTGAGGTCTTCTGTAGTAGATGCAGTAAAGCCTTTTTTTTTTTTTTTTTCCATTTTGGTGAGAATTGTGTAGCTTCTGAGGTGTTTCCTTCGTAAATGCTGCCTGTGAACTTAGAGTAGGGAGAGTAGCATGTTGAGTGTGTGGCCTTTATTACATTAGACTTTTTAAAAAGATTTTTTAATGTATGTATTGATTATGCTATTACAGTCGTCCCGATTTCCCCCCCTTGCCACCCTCTACCTTGCCCCCACTCCCTCAGGCGATCCCTGCAGTGCGGTGGCAAGTGGGGGAGTGCTGCTTCGGGGTGCGCCCCTCGTCCCAGGTCCCAGCAGCAGCTGCCGCGTTGGGGGACGGAGCACGTTGTGGGGGACGCAGTGCTCCTGGGATCTGAGGGTTACCGTCCCGGGCCAGCTGAGATGGGAGCAGGGCTCTGAATCCCGCAGAGCCTGTCCCGGGGATGTCACAGATGGGGGGGATAAACACGAGTCGTCGCAAACGCTTCTTTGTTTGCGGGGAGAGGGAATGTGGCACATTCCTCTAGAGGGGAAGGCCCGGAGCCCTTCATTCAAAGGCTTTTATTGAAAAGGTTATTAGGGGGGCCGGGTAACAGGAATGCACAGGTTATCTCATTATACCTGTATGTTAATGTTCATAGAGAATGGGTGATGTTTTGAAGAAAACAAATGGCAGGAACACACCTATTTACATGGGATTTACTTGAGTCCGAGAGGAGACTAGAAAACAAGAGAGCCGAGAGATGCGTAAACCAGAGAGTGTAGTAAACATAAGAGCGCCTAAGGGTATAGGGTTAGGGTCTGTGAATAATGTAAATTTCCTTCCCAGCAGGAGCTGGCTAGAGCTTCTGAGGGAAGAACAGAGCACATTTTAAAGAATTTACTTTTAGGCCTGATTTCCCCTGGGAACTGCCAGATCGAGTTTAGGACTGTCTCCTAACTCAGGTTTCGAACCTGAGCCAGGCTGGGAGGAGGTTTCGAACCTGAGCCAGGCCCAGGGGAAGGAGCCGCCAAGAGACAAGGAGACTGCTTTCAGATAGAATGAGGACTCCAGCCATGTCCAGGCCAAGCCAAGAGGTACGGGACTTTTTGCCCTTTCTCTGGGTCCCCCAATTTCTTGTCTGCTGCCAATACCTTGATCAATATCTGTCTTAGGTTGATATCTCAGCTCCAGATAACTTACCCATCATGGATCACCAACCATCACATGGCAAAGCAGAGGCAGGAGCTATGCCCCTGCCAGGGGGGACAGGTTACGTCTCCTCAGGAGCCTGTTTTTCCAAAGCCTCCCTGATTATTTCCAGCCTTGGGGCCCTCCAGCCTGTTGGTGGGGTTACAGTTCCTGAAACCAGGCAGGGCGTTTCCAAACAAATCCCCACACCACCATTGTCCATGGTCATGGGTCATGCATTTATGTCCTTTGGCTACTCTATTTCCTATGCTGTATTTTACATCCCCATGACTATTCTGTAGCTATTAATTTGCACTTCTCAGTCCCTTCTCCCCTTTGGCCCATCCCGCAGACCTTCCTCCCATCTAGCAACCATCAAAACTCTCTCTTTATCTATGATTCTGTTTCTATTCTGCTTGTTTGTTTATTTTGTTTTTTAGATTCAATTGTTGATAGATATGTATTTGTTGCCATTTTATTCTTCATATTTTTGATCTTCTTTTTAAAGAAGACCCTTTAACATTTCATATAATGCTGGTTTTGTAGCTTTTTATTGTTTGGGAATCTATTTGTCCTTTGATTCTAAATGATAGCTTTGATTCTAAATGACAGCTTTACTGGTAATCTTGGGTATAGGTCATTGCCTTTTTATCACTTTGAATATTTCTTGCCAATTCCTTCTAGCCTGGAAAGTTTCTTTTGAGAAATTACCTGACAGTGTTGTGGGAGCTCCCTTGTAGGTAACTGAGCACTTTTTTCTTGCTGCTTTTAAGATTCTCTCTTTGTCTTTAACCTTTGGCATTTTGATTATGATGTGTCTTGGCGTGGGCCTCTCTGTGCTTCCTGGACTTGTATATTTATTTCCCTCACCAGGTGAGGGAAATTTTCTGTTCTTTTTTCAAATAGGTTTCCAATTTCTTGCTCGCTCTCTTTTCCTTCTCACAACCCTATGCTGCGAGTGTTGGAATGCTTAAAGTTGTCTCAGTGGCCGCTTATACTATCTTCATTTTTTTGGATTCTTTTTTTCTTCTTGTTCTGATTGGTTGTTTTTTGCTTCCTTATATTCCAACTATCTGATTACATCCTCGGGTTCATCCACTCTACTGCTGTTTCCCTGTAAATTGTTCTTTATTTCATTTAATGCATCCTTGGTTTCTAATTGGATGTTTTTTATGCTGTTGAGGCCCTCATTAAGTTCCTTGAGCATCTTTATACCCAGTGTTTTGAACTCTGCATCTGATAGCTTCCTTGTGTCCATTTAGTTTAGTATTTTTCCTAGAGTTTTGTTCTTTTCCTTCATTTGGGCCATGTTTCTTTGTCTTCTCATTTTTGCAACCTCCCCGTGTTTGTTTCTTTGTATTAGGTAGAGCTGCTACATCTCCCAGGCTTGACAGAGTTGCCTAATATTGTAGGTGTAATGTAGTGCCCAGGGGCATAGCCTTCCCTGTCATGCAAGGTGGGTGCGCCCTCCTGTTGCACTTGAAACTTGATCACTTTTGGCATATAGGGTAGCCACCACCTGTGTTCTGTCCGGGTCATAGAGTATAATCTACAGAGAGATATGCAGGTGGCTGCTACTTTTGCTGGGCATGGAAGTTCCCAGGAAAGGCCAGGCTATGAATCAGCTCAACTTAGCAAGAGATATGGGGGCTTGCTGAAGCTGGATGCTGTTTGTTTGAGAGAATTTAGGAAAATCTGAAGCCAAGATAAATCAGCCTTTTGGAAAAGCCACTGGAAACAGCTTGGGTGGGCCCAAAATTTGGGTGGGCCTCAGGGAATCACCAGGGTGGGGCTAACAGTGTAAACGAGATTGATGAAGTCTCAGATATGGTGGCCACCTGCCAGCTCTGTGGCTCTGTGGGGAGAAGGCTCAGAAAGAGGTACAGTGGCCTCTGCCAGCACTTCTGTCTGAGAGGAAACTGCCCCTGACCCCCGATGCTAGACAGTTGACTTCCTCCCTCTGTGTCTCTGGTGCCTTTTAATCTGCTGCCCCCACACTGGCGCTCAGAGGGAGTGAGTCTGAGTAAGTCTGTGTGCAGGCCCTTTACAAGGAACTGCCAGGGAGTCCAGCAGTTTCTGTTCTCCACACCCTCTATTCCCACTGGCTTTTACAGCCAGAAGTTATGGTGACTTCTCTTCCTGGCACTAGAACCCTGGGCTGAGGAGCTTGGTATGGGGCTGGGACCCTTCGCTCCTGATATACTCCTCCTGATTTTTATCTGCCACTTACGGGTGTGGGACCTCCACCCCTTCTACCAGTCACAGTGTGCTTTCTTCTTTAATTCCGTAGTTGTAGGAGTTCCATTCGGCTCAATCTCTGATGATTCTGAATGATGGTTTTTTTATAGTTTAGTTGTAATGTTGATGTGGTTATGCAAGGAGGCAAGCTTTGTTTACCTAGGCCGCCATCTTGATCAGAAGTCCACACTTGACTTTAAGGTAGAGTGCCTTCTGCACTTTTCCCCTGATTCCTTCTCTCATGTTCTCTGGGAGGTTGTGGTGGGAGGAACCCAGGTCTGTCTCTGCACCAAATATCAGAAGATCATCTCTTCCTTACATTTTAGTTAACACATTTCTAATAACTAGTTATTATTGATTCTGTACAGAGGTGGAGTGATATGTGTAGCTTATGGCTCTAACTCTAGCTTTTGCTGAGAAAACTTCCATCGAGAACTTCCATCTGTCTGTGTGTAAGATCAGTCATTTTTCAGTCCAGAGGGGCATTTGAGTTGAAGGGCCTTCTCTCTAATCTGAGGATCATAAAAAGCTTATAGAAGATGAGCCCTGGCTGGTGTGGTTCAGTGGACTGAGTGCCAGCCTGTGAACCAAAGGGGTCACTGGTTCAATTCCCAGTCAGGGCACATGCCTGGGTTGCGGGCCAGGTCTCCAATAGGGGGCGCATGAGAGGCAACCACACACTGATGTTTCTGTCCCTCTCTTTCTCCCTCCCTTCCCCTCTGTCTAAAAATAAATAAAATCTTGGGGGGGGGGGGGAACTTTCATGTTTTAAAAAAAGCTTATAGAAGATGAGGATGAGAGTACGGAGGCATTGCATGTTAACAGTGAAGCCACTGTCAGTTGAAAACCATAAAGCAATCAAGAGAAAAAACTCTAGGGAACCAAGAGAAAGTTTTATAAAATAACCAAAGACCACATGATATTGACAATAACAGCAAATAGACATAGTACTTCCTCTGTGTCAGGCGTTCTTCTAACACCTTGATGTAAATTAATTCATTGAATCGTGCAGCCATCCATGGAGGGAGCACTGTTTTTCCTCATTTTTCAAAGAAAAAGACAAAGCACAGAGAAAGCAAGTGACCAGGCCATGGCCCATAGTTAGTAATTGGAGGATGGATTGTCCAAACTCAAACAGGTTGACTCTAGAAGCTATGCTATCAATTTCTTGGCTCTATTTAGAATTTTTGGAAGCCCAAGTTGTCTGATTTTATAAAATTACTAATGAGTATATTGCTCATTATTGTTCTTTATTTTTACCTCAGAACAATAACAGGACAGCTTATGATAATTTTTATTCCTTAATGAAGACTATGCAGCATGTAGAGACATTTTCTTCCCAGCAATTTTGGTTTGAGGTTTTTAAAATTGTGTAAGTTTACATACAGCAAAGAATGAATTACATTCTGCTTTTTTCAATCTTTAATGGGAAGTAAAATGACAAATCTGTAATGCTTAATACAACTCAAATTTAAAGTCAGCTCTCTACATAAACAGGGCATTCCACATTTATGCCTGTTTCCTATGCAATTAGGAAAAAAACAATCACTTTCTAAATTATACCATATGTTATTGTTCTGAGTAAGCAGTGGTTCCAGTGGTTCCTTGAACACTCTGCTTCTAGAATTAGGTGCATCACTTATGTATTTTTTGCTTTCCTGCCTTTTGATCAATTTGGACTCTCCTTGTTTGCTCTGTTGTCATGAGTGAATCTGAATTTCATCATAAGAGCAGATGGAAACATGGGGCCAGGGCCATTCTGAGGTTAACAACAGAGGGCTTTACACAGTTGTGCAGATATTGTATCATTGGGGCCTATATTTCTTATAAAATTAGACTAGAGAAGTCAGCCTGGCTCCTAGTATTGGGCTGGCCAAAAAGTTAGTTTAGTTTTTTCCATACTGATGGTTCTAGTAGTGCTTAGTTGTCTTTAACTTCATTTGAAATAATTTTGTTAGATTGTATTGTGACAGCTATAATATCAGCGTGCCTTTTTTAGAAAGCATATTAAAATTGGTGAATATTTGTGTAGCCATTTTAATATTGAAGATGGAAGAAAATGCACATCTTTGGCATATTATGCTTTATTATTTCAAGAAGGTTAAAAATGCAGCTGAAATGCAAAAAAGATTTGTGCAGCATATGGAGAAGGTGCTGTGACTGATCGAACGTGTCAAAAGTTGTTTACAAAGTTTCTTCATACTGTGGACATTTTTGCCAAAGAATTCTTTGCTGCAGGGCTGTCCTGTGCCTTGGAAGATGTTTAACAGCACTCCTGGCCCCTACCCAGTAGAAGCCAATAGCAGGAGATAATCAACATACTCAAAATAACCAAATCAATAAAATTATTGGCGAAAATGAGAAATGTATCTTTTATTTTATAGAAAAATCTAAACTTTTTAGCCAACCCAGTACCATATATATGTCTTGCCAATCGAGAATACATTTTTTTTACTTTCTAGCACACAGTCTGTTGTCTCCATTATTCAGGGATAACTGGGCTAGGATACCACACAGAGAGTGGAGTTATTAATTGTGTTATCACCTTTTACTTTGATGTTACCCCTCTGAGTAACATCAGAGAGCAGAGGGGGCTACCATTTTGCTGTTTGCATTTCTCAATTGAAAAGCCAAGGTCCCAGGGAGGTGCTTTAACAGAGGATGTGTTTTTAGGGAAAAGCAGTGCTATGGTTCCCACCTATCCCAAAACCTCATTTTCAGTTCCGTGGGAAGTAAAATGGCCATCAGGCCACCTCCTCACTCCTAACTACTTTGGCTTTGCTTCTTGTGGATAAACAGATACAAAATAGTCAGGTTTACTCAGACATTTTGAACTTGCAAGGTAAATACCAGGTGACATAATAAGCAAAGGAAGCAGGTGTGAGACTTCAGGGAGGGGTTAGGGCTCTGACACTAAAGAATGTGAAATCTCCAGATTTCTAAGTGTTAGGCCCAGAATGTTAACATTTGAACAAACCAGAATAGCTACAGGGACCGGATCCGCCCCTGCCAGGCTGCAAGAGTACGGCCTCTCCCAGCTTAAAATTCTGGGACTATGTGAGTTTTCTGCTAGGATTTAGTAGCAGGATGAACCAAATGAAAAATACTGAGTTGCACATTCATAATTAGAAAGTCAGACTTTCAGATGAAAATATTATACTTGAGGTCAAAAGAGCATCAGGTATTTTACCAAAAAATATTTTTTACTTGAATAATACCTGATATGGTATTCATCTAAACTTCTGGAAATGGAGCCTTTTGTTTTCCAACCATTCTTCCATACTTGATATAAAGATCACTATAAATATAAACACAAACATGACATAAATTTTAGTTTATTAGATTATTAATATTGTGAGCTATTAAAGTTTTAAAATAGAAAAAAGAAGTTATTAAAGAAAAAAAGAGAGCCCTGGTTGATGTGGCTCAATGGTTGAGCGTGGGTCTGAGATTAAAGGGTCACTGGTTTGATTCCCAGTCAGGGCACGTGCCTGGGTTGCAGGCCGGGGTCCCCAGTAGGGGGCGTATGAGAGGCAACCACACATTGATATTTCTCTCCCTTTCCGTCTCCCTCCCTTCCCCTCTGTCTAAAATAAATAAAATCTTTAAAAAACATTTTTAAAAAAGATTAAAAAAAATGAGGAGTTGCTAGAAATGAACTCTGGCTCCATTCATGTGTGTTATTAATTCCTGTGTGGGAATACAGTGCGGATTCCTGTCTAACCTGGTGACGGCTCTAGTTCTCCACCCGATTAGCATGATGAATTTCTCAGCGGCCTCACTGGGAATGCTAAAATCCTGCAGTGAACGGGCAGTGATCCTAAGCTTTACATTGGGAGTGTTTAATAGTTGCTATTGGCAGGAACAGTATAAAATTACTCAGAATCAAAATATTGCTAGCCACGATGCCATTTTTCTCCCCTTGGGAAAATCAAATTAACTTTCTGTACGACCTGATGGTATTATTCCAGCATTCTCACGCTCCACCCCCTTTTCACTGACAGCTACCTTTTCCTTTGACCCCTGCTGTTTTTCTTTCCAGTGGAATCCCTATGTGAGCCAGTCCACGCACCCTATTAAGACACTCTGTCTGCTTCCTTATTAAACAACTGAACAGTGGGCAAAGCATAGAGTTTCCGTTGTTACCAGCCTCCCCACTGAATGACTGTTAGACCTTCTATCAGTGGTGCCCTCTCTCCCTTCTACCTAGCACACCCTGGGCTGTTCACAGTCCTCATTTTGGGTTATTAATTTTCTGCTTCCCATGACTTGTTGACCTTAGATTATTCTAATTAAGGACATTAGGATAGACTAACCATTAAATTCATCTCTGGAATCTTATTAACTAGACATTTTTCTACTGCCCAGATTCGCCTCGTCACTTCTGGTGGTATCATTTAATCTGCTGGCTGCTGAGCGCTGCTGGGATCATCTGCATTCTTGTAGCACATGAACACTATACTGTCGATGTGATCATTGCTTATTACATCACAACACGGCTGTTTTGGTGGTACCATTCAATGGCCAATGAAAAGGTGAGAGCAGTGAAATTATCCTTGGGTAATTTCTTTTCTTTAAGTGCAGTGGAGCCCCTGGCTGCTGTGGCTCAGTGGATTGAGCGCCAGCCTGCAAACCAAAGGGTTGCAGTTTAATTCCCAGTCAGGGCACATGCCTGGGTTGTGGGCCAGGTCCCCAGTCGGGGATGCACAAGAGGCAACCACACATTGAGTTTCTCTCCCTCTCATTCTCCCTCTCTTCCCCTCTTTAAAATAAATAAAATCTTTTTAAAAAATACAATGGGGTTTAGTTTACATCAGTTCACTTATATCCATAATTGCTTCTTAAAATAAAAAAAAATCACACATGTAAAAGACATTTAAGAATAAAAATGTATGATAGTAGATCATGGTGTTTTACTAATTCAGCTAATTTATATGAGAATTAAAGAAGTATCTGTGCTACATTAAAATTTAGGAACCTTCTCAGGAGAAGCATTGTGGGGCAGCTAGATAAGACACCCCTGCCTTCAGAGAACTTAATTTTGAGAGCAAGATGGCAACTATTTTTGAAAGTCAGGCAAAGTCAGTCACGTATGAATAACTGGATTTAGTACACCTTTTGGTGATGCAGTGCTATCTGGCTTCCCTTCTCATTCTTATTTCTGCTTCACCCTATTTCCAGATGAACATTTTTTTCTCCTCCCACTCATTCTGAAAACGCTAGCTCAAATGTCATCTCTCTGGGAAGACTTCCTGAACTCCTGCCCTTGGCCTCTAGTCCCAAGGCAGAATGAGTCCTCCCCTTTTCTGTCCTTCTTAGCCTTGGTGTGTGTCCTTGGTGTGAGAGTCTGTGTGTCATGACTTGACTTATCTTGAATTCATCTTGTCATATTGTCTGACACATACCATGGTTGGAGAATTTGTGAGAGATTGAAATATGACCTTCCCAAAGGACCTAAATCCAGTTCTCCTTTAGTGGTGTCCACTAATAAATGCTCTTTCTATGGGTTTATTTGTCTTTTAGCTCTATTTCCTGTTTTGTGGACTCCTACTTCCATCTTCCATTTAGTTGTCTGCTGATACCACTGAACCATGATTTTCATCTCTCCTCTTAAATATGCTCAATCTTGTGAGCTCTCCTTTTACTCTTCCATCTTCCTTGACTCACATATCTGACCACGCACACTTCCTGAAAATTGTTCCTCCTGGATAACTGTCACATGCCTTCCTAAGTCTCCACCGTCACCGGAATTGCAGGCAGAAGATTTGCACAAGCCACAAAGAGGGACGAAAGAGGCAGCTAAGGGAGCAGGGTGAGGGGGTAGGTCACATCAGAGTTAGGGAACAGGCGTAAAGACTGCCTTGTGATCTGGATTCTGCGGCTTTCTTTGCTAAGTTACAGCAAGGGACAGTTTAATTGGAAAAAAAAAATTCGGATGTGAATTGTGAAAAATATGTCTCATTTGACTTTTCTCCTACCTTTTACAGAACTTGAAGGTCTCTTCACAGACTAACTTCTTGTCTCGTGCATGGTGGTTCCCCATCTTTTATTTTTTTGAGAAAAATGTACAAGGCTCAATTCCTTGCTGCTTCTCCTGGCCACTCTCCTGGCCTCCTGGCTGCTTTAAATCATCGTGCAAAAAGTACTCCCGGGTTCAGAAGACAGGCGAAGACAATGAGAAATCTACCTGAGCCGCAAAACAAAGGCAGCAGCTCTTATACCAAACGAGGTATCGCTGTCACCAAAGGTGTATTTTTGTTTTTTTATTTTAGGAGAACTGACTGGTAAATGAACAAGTGGACCAAATTTTGTGTAAATGATTAGAAAGATGAACAAAGTGTTACCCTTTGACTTTTTGTTTTGTTTTGTTTTTTTATTCATCCTGAGAAAGTTATATTCTCCTGCGGCTCTCCATTCAATGGTGACAAGCCCTCCACCTGGGATTTTACCAGCGAGCTTGTCAAAGAGGTGCCAAAGAACACATTACACCTTTCCTTAGCCTTTCTCCACTAAAGAATTTTTTCAGGATTTTTTTCCCCTCCAAGGTCAGAAGAATTTGTTAATGTTTTAAATAAACTCTCTGGACAGATATAGCTACTGTGTAAATAGAATAACCTAATGTTGAGAGTGAGTTTTTGCATTAGGCCTATTAGTGAGGGGGAGACACAAGGGTTGTGAGTGAACTTCGGGTGCACTTAACTTCTCTCCTTTTGTGGGGAAGGGTAAGGTTAGGCCTGGGAATATGTACTGCTGCTACCACCCAGTGTACTATGGATCACTTTTACTTTATTTTTTAAACTGATAATTTTATTTAAAATTGAAAGATATGTGATCTAAGTAAATATGGAAGTATTTGAATAACCCCACAGGTTTTACTTGTTTGTAAATATTTAATTTTAAGATCTCTGTGACAGACACACAGGAAATGCAGGGCTGGTTCTGCTCACAGCAGCCCTGGTTTGCACACCTGCCTGCTGTCTGCCTGGTAAATCTGCGCCTGGTACCCCCAGGCAGCCGGCTGCACACACAGGCTGAACCCACGTGGGCGAGCTGATGCTCCTGTTGCAGGAGGAACGAGCCGGCGTTCTCTCCCAGGTCTTGCCCTGTGTGAGATCTGTTTTAGAGCTGCTTATCGAAACTCAGAAATATAATTGGTCGCACTTCACTGAAAACCATTTCTTTCTAGTTATACTCTGTTTTATGGGAAAAACCAAGATGGAGTCCACAAGTTTAATGCAATCTTGCCTTTTTGCAAGAGGCCCAGCTTCTTATCAACTGAGTGTTTATAGGAAGGACTATGGACACATACCACAATTGAGTCATTTTACTTTGACCCTGAAATTATACCACATTGCTGCACTATAAGCTATTGTTGGTAAGCTGTTATCGGAATCAGGATGTTAGACAGTTAAAGCTATTCAATAAAGGGGGCTCATCATTTCTAAAGTTCTTTCAGGTGATGCAAAAAAAGAAAAAGATAGACTTGATCAGATTTAATGCTGTCAGAGTTAGTACAGAGTTTAGTGCTGTTGGGTCTTGTGGATAATTCTTACTTAATTTCTTAAGACTTCTAGTAACCTTACAAAAAGATTTAAGATTACAAAATCATCAACCCAGAGAAGCAGAGAAGCCAACTGGGGTACATAGAGGAAGTTACATTTATATTGAAGGTAAAAATTTCCCTCCACTTAGAAAGGAAAAAAAAAAATCTAAATTTGTTATTATGAACTAATTAGCCTTGATTTGATATACAAAATTGACCTTTAAATTGCTCAAGAGAAGCACAATACAAACATAAATGTGTTCAGAAAGGTCATCATCCTTTGGTGCTAAAATTCTGTGTGTTTTCAGTATAGCTCTTGCTCTGTGTAATAGAGGGGTCACTAAAGGAAAGGTGGTTGAATTCAAAGACAGTTTATTTTAAAAAAAGAAGTGAAACCCTGAACTTTCTTGGCTGGTTTTGAAATGCAAGGAATTTGTCCAGTATTTATTATTAAACCAATAAGGAATATATCTATACCTTACCTGATGTGTTTAATTTTTTCCTTATTTTCACTTATTACATATTGACAGTTGTGCTAAAACAAGGTGTTCTGCTTGAAAACACTGGTTTTAAATTTCTGCTATCCGATTGTGAAAACATCTGACACTGCAGCCTGGGTTTTGCTCTCTTAACACTGGGATATTGAGCCTCTGATTTCCATAAGACCACTTGGTATGCCTTAGATATACCTGAGAGCCTTATTCCCCTACAACTTAGATAACCCTCTTTTCTTCATATGAGGAAATGGATTTCAGCTTTTAAAATCATGGTGCATGGATCGTTGGAAACCCTTGAAACAGTAAACCTTGCATGTTAGTCAAGTCATCTAGTGTTTTTTGTTTTTTGTTTTTAAATAATTCCATCACCTGTTAAAGAACTTTAGGAAACATGTCTGACCCCACATGTGGACAGACACGCTGCTGCCCTCTTCCGTGCAGTGTCTGGCATAGCTCACTAGTAGAGGCTGTGGGAGCATGCGGTGTCCAAAGAAGGGTGAGTGGGAGATACCGGAGTTTCAAGATGGGAAAACATAAGAGAAATAGTGAATCTCATTTACATTTAGGAGAGCAAGCTTGAGGTTTAACCCAACATGCCACTTTGGAATATAAAACATAAACAATTACTAGACTTACTGTGGAGATCGTTTTGCGGTATAGAGAAATAGCGAATCATTATGTTGGACTCCTGAAACTAATATAATATGTAGATTATATCTCAATTAAAAAAAATTTATATTTTAACTTTGAAACAAATTTTTGGAGCTCCTTTTCCTTGCTAATCAAGATACAAATCTTATCAATTAGTCTTGTTTTTGTAAATCACTACTCCTGTTTGAAGCTTTTCCTGTAATTTAATCCTCTGTTCAGTATCTATAACATATAATTCCTATAGATTATATGGCGTTTTTTTTTTTAAATTCTTTGAAATGGAAATGAATTCCTCTCATTCTATTTTTTGAGCTCCTTCACTAACTGAAAATCAAGCGTTCTTTCCCAATTCCACCGGAAGTAATTTTGAATTTATTATTTCATTCATTGGCATGTTGGGAAGCAAGTTTTGCTGTGGAAGGAAGGGTGTTTTGAATGAGGGCCAGTCTCTAAGTCTGGTTAGTAGATAGGACCTAGCATCAGGTTCTTTGCTGTATACCAGCGCCCCCTTGTGGAAATATGACATGGAACACAAACTTGCCACTTTTTAAAGTGTATTTTCAAAAGACTTTTTTTAAAAATCATTTTGCCAATACTCTGAAAGCAGAGTGCAAAAGGAGTTATTTTTAAGGTATTTTAAACCTTTCCCAAAGGGAGAATGTACTTGGATCAGAGGGAGTTGCAATTCTAATCTTTTATCCATTGATCAAAGAAAATTTACAGGCCGTTTTTACCTCTCACCGTCACAATCATTAATGTTTCCCTTTGTAACTGCCAACACTGTTTACTTTGAAACACCAAGTTGGCTGCCTTTTTTTTTCACTTGCTAGAACTCATGCAGTTTGTTTTTCATTGAAAGTTCACATTATGTTCCTTGAATATTTTGAACATTTCTTTTCAAATTCTTTGTTATTTTTGTTTTGCACTGTAAAATTGATTAAAAATGTAAGCCGGTCTTAACACACTTCTGCAGTGTAAGGAAGTGTAAGAAGGAATTTCTTAATAAATGAGTTTGCAATGTTTAAATCAAGCGTATTAAAAGTAACATTTGTTGAAGGCTTTTCTGTTTGTATATATAAAGATTCCTGGTATTTTTTTAATGTTACTGTGTTGCAATAATTTAACTCATTTGAATTACTTGCTAAAAATACTTTGTCTGTTAAGAAGTGCTCTTGACTTCGGTACCTAAACACTTAAAATCATGTCAAAGTTACCCAAAGATAAAATTTTATACAGATAAACACCTTCTGAATTGTGGCTTATTTTATTATTCATTAATGTAACTATGCTGTGTTCTAAATGAATCATGGATGAGACTAGTTATTTTTGAATTATTTAAAATTGTTTTTTAAAAGAAAAAAGTTATAAACATAAGCTAACCTAGTTGCCAAGTTGGAGTTCATTATTTAATTTACCTCCTATGCAAAGATTAATGCTGCAAAATGTATGGTTATGTAATGGTCTGTTCACAAAAGAGATACTATTACACAGTTGGAGAAGTAGCCAATTGCATTCTTTTGGAAATTTACTGTACTGTTTCAATGTGTTAAGTGCCTTGTTGAAAAGTAAAATTTTAAGCCTAGAATGCATTATTTTCCTGACATATTTTTCATCATGATATATACTGTATGTTATTTTAATAGTTTTATTAAATGCTTATGTTTTAATCAAATATGTAAATTTCAGAAGCTCTTTTTCTCCTGTCCACCAGTACCTTAATCATTGGTGTATCATACGGGATTTAAATTCAGGTTCTTTTTTTAAGAAGAGGAAATTATCTTTGTTTAGAAGTATGTTTTCTATGCTTGTGCTTTTGTGGTTATAAAAACATTTCAGGAGGAATTTAGGAGTGTAACTATAGCTCGTACTTCAAAATGCTGTTTTACATTTATATTTTAAGTGCCTAATTGTTAGTTAAAACTAATTTATGTTTTTATTCTGAAGAGAATATGTGTACTTGGTTTCTAATCTCTTTGGCTTTGCTTAAAAAAAAAAAAAAGCAAGAGCCTATACTTTATATTTACCCAATAAACCACCATGACATCAACAGTCTTTTCAAAATCAGTCCTACTGTTTCTTTCAATTAAAAAAAAAAGTTGTTTTCTTTAGAGTTAAAAAATTTATTTTGTCTTAAGTGCTTATTAAAACCACAAGTGGGTTACTTTTTCAAGCACTTTTTTAAATAAGCTGATAACCTTCAATTAATGCAACTGTAAATCAACTTTTACTTTTCCTGCTCTTCGGATTTAAGGTGAAAAAATAATTCATGATAATGTTAGATCATTTGTGGAGAAGAAATAAGTCCGTTGCCTGCTCCATGATTCCGATTCTCATTGCTCACAGACAAAAATCATGAATTTTTCAAGGAGAGCAGAGTCCTTCTTGCCATTTCTGAAAGAAATGTCATCTTCACTCCTTCACAAGGAGGGGACCAGGATGACATCCTCAGCTAAATCTTGATAGGATAGACATTGCAACAGTGGATTGTAGTGAGTTGTTTCTAGACCCTCTGACCCCCCAAAGACAAATTTAGTAAAAGCAATTCAGTAGAATGAGGGGAATAGGAATAAGATAAATATGGTTCAAAGGTTAAGTTGTTGGATATAGTCCAGGTTATTTTGGATTATCTGGAAATGATAGATCAGAATAGCATTTCTGTCACTTCTACCCAAGCTTTAGATCACAGCGATGGTCCCATCCTCCAGTTTGAAACATTAGCATGCCGATTTTGTTGGGCGTAGCCTCAAAGACTGCCTTTACCTAGAATGCATTATACAGGGAACTGATGGGATGCTTCACAAGCTTTGACACCTAACATTCCATTTCCTTCTAATAGAATATACAAGAGTATCGGAAGCACGACACTAGATTGCTCACAGATATGTTAGAATAATAATGACTTATGCACTATGTGCCTACATAATGCATATTTAATTCATACATGGCACATGTGATGAGGCATAGCATTTTACAGTTTTGATGCTTGACATACATTCTTTAATCTTCACAAAGCCACCAGTGAAATTTCCTCTTGTGAAATGAAAGTTCATAGTGTCAGAGCTTGGAACCTGAGTTTTGTTTCCTGTTTTGCTGTCTCCCTGACCTAATTACTATGATTGCCACCACATTTTGTTAAAAGTTTTGTTTATTTGTTAGGGAATTTTATTCCCTTTTCAGGCAGTTAAGAGAGAAACTAGTCCTTGGAACAAATTCTTTTTCAAATGTTACTGATTTTTCTTATAGTTACAATTTACATTTAATTATAGTTTACACTTCAGAGGGGAGAAAAGTCAATGTTTCTAGGGCAAAAACAAAAGAATCCAAGTGTTTGACTCACAGATTTGTTGGAGTAAACACATTGCAAGCATCACGTACAGGATAGTACACTAAGACACACTTTTAGCCTTACCCAGGTTAACACAGGGGACATAACAGTGCAGAAGGCTTTATGTCTAAATGACTCAGGATTTATTCCCAAGGGAATGGGAAAAGGAACGCTGTGAGGGCCTGCTTTCAAAGGACAGTACGGCTCTGAGGACACCCAAGAGAATTGGAGTCAGTCTAGTTTGGGTCAATTCTGGGCTTCCAAATATCAAAGTGAAGTTATACTGTTGTTTGTCCTGGCACAAACTGTTGAATTTTCTGTACTGAAAATCTGGCCAAACCAGTATGTGTGTTTGCTTCTGGCCAAGTTTCTGGGCATACACTATTTCAGGTCTATGACACAAGTGCATATCTCCTTTTCTTTCTAACTTCCTTAAATGAGGTACGTACTTGGGTAAAAATAAAAGAAGCCACTACTTTTGAGAAGCGCCCATATGTGAGGCACAGGTGGTAGGTTTCCTCTTACCTAACATGCACAGCAGTCATGCCAGGTGAGTCTCATATGCTCCTTATATAAACAAGCTTTTAAAGCAAAGTGCACTGCTTATAGTACAAAGTCTCAAGCTCTTTGGGTGTCATGGTTCTTCCTAATCTGTGAGTCCTATCTGTGCAAGGCACCTTCCCGTTGCTTTCAGCCAGCAGCACCCTCTGTCCTGACCAGACTACTCTCGTCCCTGTCCTCTGCACTGCAGTGGTCAGTTCTACCACATGATATGACTCCCCACCCAGTATGTCACCTGCCTCCCAGGGAGGCAATGTAACCTGGTGGCCCTGTGCTCTCTGGGTTTGAATCTCAGCTCTTCCAGTATTGGTGGTACATGGCAGACCTTAAATAGGTTGCCTGACCTTTCTACGCCTCAGCTTCTTTATCTGTAAGGGGGAAATAATAGTCCATGTCCCATAGAGTTGTTACAAGATACACATTTAGTATCTGTTGGTCAAGTTCACTTAACAAAGATTTTAGGTACCATGGTTCTAGCACTGAAATTATTAATGTATATCCAGATCTTTCCTGTCCTGAAAGTTCAGCTGAAGTCTTTGCTCTTGCAGACTTTACTGTCTTCTCTGAATCCCTTCCCAAAAGACATACAAATTGATGAAAGGTGAGATACAATTACTACTTTAAGATTTTAAAAAATGTATCCTGTTCTATTACCAAATTAAAGTTCCTTACGAGAAAGGACTGTCTTAATGCTCATTGCAGTGTCTAATAAAGTTCTCACATACAGGTTTTCAGCAAATACTAATAGAATGAAAATTTTAAAATGTCCTGTGTATTTTGATTATTAACAAAATTTAAGATTCAGTGAAAAGGGAATTTCCCATCATGCCACCAAATAATTTGCTCTAAAATAATTGACTACCAAACCACCATGTTTATAACCTGAGAATGTTTCAGTAGCAATCATATAATAGGTGTTTTGGCCACAAATATGGATTGAAAAGGCTGTAGTGGAAAATTCAAAGACTTGGCCCCTAGGTTTAATTCCTAAGGCAGTTGCTTCCCTGCCATCCAACCTCAGGTAAATTACTTTCCCTATCTGAGTTTTTATGTCCCCTCTAGAAAGGGAATGAAAAAACCAACCCCCACTGTCATGTTGAAGATTAGAGATAATGTGTAGGAAAGAACTAAATACTACCTGACTCATTGATATATACTAAGGTC